ATGAGGGGGCAGGGGGGTGGGAGGAGGGGGGTGGCTGGGAGTCCCAGGAGAGGGGGACCTGGGGGATGCAGAGGGGGGCAGGGAGTGGGAGGAGGGGGACCTGGGGGATGCAGAGGGGTGAAGGGTCAGGGAGTGGGAGGAGGGGTGGCTGGGGGGTCCCAGGAGAGGGGGCAGGGAGTGGGAGGAGGGGGTGGCTGGGGGTCCCAGGAGAGGGGACCTGGGGGATGCAGGGGGGGAGCTGGGCAGGGTGTGAGGGACTCTTGGCCCAGGGCCCCAGCTCGTCTCCCCCAGGCGTTTCGGCTGCGAGCGGCGGTGCCGGAGGACGCCCGCCAGGCCCGAGCAGGGCTGGCCCCATGTGGGGCTGCAGGGTCCGGCCCGGTGAGGGCACCGGGGGGAGATCTATAGGGCTCATCACTGGGGGCTCAGACCCCTCAGTACCATCACACCCAATGGCCCCGGGCCCCTGAGTCAGGCAGTCCCCGCCCTGGGGCCGGCGCCCGCTCGAGGGGACAGGCCCCGTGTCCAGCCCCCCCAGGTGAATGTGAGGTGCTGGGGGGGGGGCAGTGCAAATGAGCTGCCCCATCTCGCCCCCCAAAGGAGCAGCCCAGTGTGGGCTTGCCCCTGCCTGTGGTCTCGTGGGGTATCCGCAGGGTGTGGGGGGGAGAGGCTGTGGATTGGGGTGAGGCTGGTTATAGGGGGCCTCTGTGCCTGGCGCTGAGATGCAGCCACCTCTGGGCCGGGGTGGGGGCTGGTTATACGGCGCCCGCTTGCCCAGTGCTGAGATGCAGCCACCTCTGGGGTGGGGCGCGGGGGTGTTTAACAATCCCCAGGCAATGCCCCACTACCGCAGTTTAGGACAAGAGGTGACGGAGCCCCCCCACCCCCAGGATCCTGCTGCTGGACCCAGGGCAATTCCAGCCGCAGCGCCCCCCATCGCCCCCCGGGCCTGTGACACCTGACACGACCCCGATCCGCTGCAGGCCCCCCCGGTCGCAGGGCACAGCCGGTAGGCGAGGATGGTTTATTGGCAGTTATTTGTAGCATACAAACTGGGGGGAAGGGGCGGGGGGGGGCATATTTTAGATACAAAATTTTTTTGGAAATAAAGATAAAAAATCTCCTCCTCCCCCACTGGGGCCAGCGTCGCAGGGCACGGACCAGCCCCTCCCCGCCCCTGCCCCAGGGCTCTGTGCACCTACAACGGGGCACGGCCCCCCTGCCCCCGGGCGCCCCCCTCCTGCCCTGCACCCACCGGGTGGCATCCACTGAGCCGGGCCCTGTGGCATCGCCCCCGGAGGCCCGCACGCAGCCCCTGCCCCCCCGGGGACTCCAGGCGGTGCCCACGTGGGGGGCGAATCCAGGCCATGCTGCTCTGGCCCCGTGGGGCAGATCAGAGGGCTCAGGTGCCCCCCCCAGGGGGGGTCAGGCCCGGCCCCTGGCCCCACACAGGCCGGGGGAGGGGTTTCTGGTCCCCCCACTCCAGGCCCCCCCAGTTCCCACAGCATCCCCCCTACATCAGCCCAGGGGGGGAGCAAGCTTTGATTTGTGCCGGGATCAGACAGGGAAGGGGGGTAAACTGAGGCAAGGCGAGCCCGTCCATCCTCTCCCCTCTTCACCGGGACCCTTCCCGGCCATCCCCGTCCCCAAACCAAAAATCAGAGACAATAAATTAGAGCCAGGGACAACCCCCCCCCCGCCCCGCTTGGCCAAGGGCCCCTGAGACCCCCCCAGCCAGGAGAAGCTCCAGCACGGGG